GAGACAAATGGCCAGCTGAACTGCAGGGTCACCGGCACTCCTGACGCTTTTGGTAAGAAGGGAAGCTAAGGCTGAGGTCAGGCCCTTGTGTAAACCTCTGCTTGGTCACTGAAATCGTTGAACCATCCAAAACACACAGAAGACTGTCCCTCCCCCACCCTTTGGTATTTTTTTTTTTCATTCCCTCATTTGTTTTGGAGACGAGCATTATAGGAAAACTGCAGTAAGCTATTTTCAGGGCAGCTACATGTTTTTTGAGTTGTGGCCATCCCAGTAAAATCCTGACATGCCAAGGACACGTAGCCCTGTATCTTAGTCCTGTACGAGGTTCCAGTTTCGCAGCCATTAGGCAGCAGCGCTGATGAATGCTGTAATTTAGAGGTTGTCTGCTGGAATCTTTTGCCACAGAAGACATTCAGGGTAAAATCCACCACGATGCTCACAGAAAAGGGTAAGCTTTGAAAGCATCACGTTGGGCTGAGGGCGAGTGGAGACACGGCTGCCAGGCTTGAGCTCAGGGGTAGCGGGTGGCTGTCCCCCGCCAGCAGCAGCCCTAAGGGAAGGTGCCCTTACTGTGCTGAACCCACGGGTTTGCCCTGGCAAGAAAATCAGGCTGCTGGTGAGGAGCAGGTTGAACCGCAGCCTGTCCCTTGTCATCTTCACCTCAACCAGTGGGGAGGAGAATGCGACGGAGCAACACTCCTGGGAAGAGGATGTGAAGGGTCAGAGGGTTTGTTGAAGGAGAGGCATGAGCTAAACATGAGATTTCCTTTCCTGCTCCATCAGGGTGGAATAAACTCGGGATGAGACAGGCATCCTTTGGGTGCAGTCCAATACCACTGGGGAACTGCCGGATTAAGGCTGCAAACAGACCGCGCTGTCATCTCCCACCTCAGATTCATTGACTCCAGAGGGTGCTGCCAGGGCTCCCCAGATGGTGGGAGGTCAGGTGAAGGTGCAGATCCTTGTTGTGAACTTCTTGGTTATAGTATGTGTCGGGATGTAAAAAAGGGGACAACAACAGAGATTTTCAATGGAGATGGAGAAAGTGTCCTGACGAGAAGAATCAGGTGTGCCGGCCTCACCTGCTCTGCAAAGGCTCCCACTGGCATCAGCTCATTAACCCCCAAGCGTGGGAGACCCCAATTACAGGTTTGTCCCCCCTGTCACACGAACGTACCGATTCAAGCGGGTCAGGAGCCAGCTCGGACAGCAAAGCCCAGCGACCAGCCCACGAGCGGCACCCACAAAGCCGGGGTTCGTACCTTGGGTTCGTGAGCCGCGAGCTCTGCGAGGGATGCTGCCGCTGAGCGACGGACGGGGCGGTGCCCACCAGGTGCTCCTCCCGCACCCACCACTGCCACCTCAGACACAGCTCTGCGCTGCCTGAACACCGCCCTCACCAGTCCTCGCTCGGCCCTGGGAGGAGCTGCTGGCTCCTCCACCTGCCCAGGCAGCGCCCCAACGCCACGGGTCTGCCTTTGTTAGGGAGGGCTTTCGAAAGTTAAGACGGAGCTTAAATAAGACTGAAGCAACGTACGTGTAGGCCAAATCCTAATATAGCTGGAATGCCACCCTGTAACTGGCTGCCGCGTCTCTCCAGACCGAATTCTTCTTCAAATGCCTTTTTAGCTGTTGGTAGAAATTCAGCCCAAGTATGAACCAAACGGAGTTGCTCTTCAAATGACATTTTGGGAAGCGGATGTGGGCACT